AATCTTCAACCGTAATCAGCTTGGCATCGGCTGTCGCCTTTTCTGCTTGCGCAAAAACGGGATTTTTAATTTTGATATTTGCAATTTTTGCGCTTTTCCTTGATTAACTTCCAACGCGTATCATTTGCGATGTGGTACTGTTGCTTTGGGGCGCTTTTGAGTCTGGTAAAATCCCCTTATAGGGGTACCAACATGGAGACGGCTGTCCCCAGCTTTGCCCTGTCTGTGCCTGTGAGGTAGATTTCTTTTGACTGGTGATATCTATAACTTTTCTGTTCATTTTTCAAATTTCCTCTGCTTCTTTACAGGTGGTAAGAAGATTGCTGGGCTACGGTTGCACTGTCCACGCAATGGTTGGCGATCGGAAGAAAGCCAGAGAGCTCTTTGCACCTATGATTGCTTCAAAGTCACCTCTTACTCTTTACGAGGTGGATCTTGAGGATCCACGCGAGGTTAGCTTGCACAAAGAGGATTTTTCCTGGCATCATTATTTTTACCTCAGGTTTCAAAATTTTCTCGCGGGTTTGTTTTGAGATGTATGGAACTTGATGTGGTTATTTTATGCGCTGGAACAATGTTGGCTCGCCCAAAAGTAATTTTTCAACCTCCATCTCGTTTTGTTGAAAAATGAAGTTTTTTACAGATTGTTGACAACATTGAGACGCATATGAGAGTAAATGTCCTATCCCAAGCCCTTCTTCTTCACATGCTCCATCCCATCTTAACTTCTAAATCCAGAATTACTGCTTTAAGCTCTTCCACAGCTAGAGTTGCCTTCTTTTCGAGCGCTTTGTTGCAGCAAGGTAGCTAGAATTTTTGCTAGTTTCTCTAAGAACGAGAGTCCTTGCAATTTGCAGATCCTCTCAGTTATTATGTTGGACCTTATGAGGCGTACTGCTTTTCTAAATTAGTCCTTTCAATCTATGTTGCGGAGCTTTCTCGACAAAGGTAAATCTTAATTACGAATAAATCCAAGAAGAGGTCGAGGGTTTGCAGGCACCATGCAGTCAGCATGCATCCAGGCGTTATACCAGGTACTCTATATCGCCACTGCAACAGATTCGTCAAGTTTGTTACGTACTTCATATTGCCAGAAATTTTGAGGTGAGTCTAGACTTTATTTTTCCCGTATTTACAGATATTTTTAACGTTCTAGGAGCCCGACGTTCAGCGCGCTTTTAGTCTTGCATACTACATTACGAGATGACCAAATAGCTGGAGCGTATTACGAGGATTGTACACCCCAAGACCTATGCAGTCGAGTATTGGAAGAAGTGGGTTTTTTGAGAGCATTTGAGACTTTGCTCTTCGTTCAATCAAGACTATGAAGTATATGCTATTCATCATACTCATCAAAATACCTCAAAATCATACACATAAGTCCACGGCCAGATGAGGCCGCTAAGACCGCCCTGAAGATAAGTTCTTTTTCACTATCCTTTTGTCAGATAAGTCCTAAAATTGTCAGATAAGTCAAGACTTATCTGCGGACGAACTTATCTGATTGGAGGCCTTATCGTGAGATTTTAGGTATCATAATTTGACATAGGGATTAGAAAACCCAAAATTCAATTATCATAGAATTCGCAGAAAGTAAAAATCAAATGATCGAATAGCGGTTCACAATGATGTAGTTAGAATGAATTCAGAAGGAATAGTTCCACA